AGGTTGCAAAGGTTTCAGGCTAACACCAAGTCAAGAAGACTGACTAGCTCTTTCCTACTTTTAACTTAAACTTCTTTTTAGATATAGATGAATGTACAAAGGTTTGTACAAGATTTGGCTACTCTAGAATATCTGTGTCAGCTTAATGAAAAGTATTACCTAGTTACTTGAACTGATTAGAACCGAATCCCGTCTCAGATTCCTTTCGAGGACCTTTGGTTATATGGTTGTTCTAGCAAATTTTTCAAAGATAAGGTAATTAAAGGTTGTTTCACCTTGTTTTCCCAACTTCGTCAAATTGGTATGAAGACTTAGAGGAACGCACCTGATCCGGAGTCCATTGTATGCATAATACTTTTCAAAGTCGGACCCTGGACGTGGTACATTCCCAAATGTTTCGCCGGCATCATCAGTGAGTCTCGCCATTCTTAGCACCATACAACAACTCGTCAAAAAGACAAATAAGCCTATCCTTTGACCAAACGTCGATAAGGTAATTAATTTATCAAGTATACAAACTGAGGATGGTACGATTATTCCAATTAAAATATGATTTGAAATTAAGAGAAGCAGGTTTTTGAAGAACCTCTCAGTAGATTGATACTGGCATAAATTTCATTTCATGCGAGAAGATAGGTGGAATGAATTTGTAGATCGGCCCCATCGGTAACGGAATGAGAGCTGCCTTAGACTTTTGTCTCTTGAATTGTGCGAAGTAGACATTAACTCACCTTTATATAAGCCAGATGATTCCGTGCTGAGGTTTCGTCTGTCATGTGACGGACATCGTCAGAGCTAGAAACCATTATTCACGAATAATCACCAAAAACACTAAAGCAAGAAGAATGGCCAGCTAATATTCTACTTACTCTTTTACGATGTTAAGGAGGCTGTCTTATGTTTGTCTTGCATACATGTAAACGAGTTGAAATGATGCAGTAATGGGAGCGGATGTTGTCACAACTTTTGTCCAAGTAAATAACCTAGCATATGATCTTGTAATTCTGGGGCTTGTTATAGCTTAATGAATGAGTGTTCATGTGTGTATGCAACCCTCACGAGTTGGTTGGCAAGTTTAGGTCCCAAAACAGACTTCAAGTTAATCAAATCTTCTCTTACTTATGGGATCTTCATATACCACTTCCTTCTCTCTAATTCTATTCATTATGCATGAAGATAATACAGGTTTTGAATAATCTTGACGTCTTGACATCATTTCTATTCAGCATCCAGAGCTAGTTCATACTTAATTTCCTACATTCCTTCCTCTTACTCAGGTTGTTCTTTATTTCATTAATTTTAATCGGCTCCCTGATCTTCCGCTTAACTGTGAAGTCCACATAATCGGAAAACGTTGAAATATAGACCACTCTATCTGGTGTCCTGTAGTGACATGTTCAGCCACCTCCGATTTCTGAATCCATAAGCTTTTGCAGGCGGCTCAGTGTTCTGATAGCCTCTTAAGTATGGGTCGACAAGTCTCTTCCACATAAACACTACCACATGAGCACAAAAGCTTGTAACAACTTGATTTGCAAAGGGCGTCGGAAGTTTCTCTAAAAGAATGCATGATTGAGGAAAGCGTTATTGATTTTTATATTGTCTTGACACTCAATTTCCTCAATAATTCGCTTTCTTTCATGAAAGCTCGCAGGATGGTAGCACTAGGAACCTGGCCGAAGAGTTCCACAGTTTGCTGAGCTAACATGAGTTTAATCAAGGAGACGACTCGTGAAGGGGTTCCTTTCTAAGGTAGGGTGTGGTTTCGGCTTTGTCTGACTCTGGTTAGCCTTACTCGGAGGGATTCGGATGAAGAACAGATGGTTCGAGAGGCACACGACTCTAAGGCAAATGAGTTCCGGTACAATAAAGAAAGATATATGACGAAAGCCTTAAACGAGCATTAAGGCCCATATATTAATGTTACACAAGAGAATAAAAAGTCCTAATGCAATAAAAATGTCTTATGAATAAAGGCCCTAAGAAAGTACTTATTCTCAACAAATCTTAAAGCCTTTTATCGCGCAAAACGCTGCTTCAAAGAGCAACTGGTTTATTTCCCTGGGCAGCATAGTAACCCTAATACTGATTTGAGGGAAAAAAGAGGTAAAAATATGGTCAAGAATGGAGATATTCATATATGAAAGTCTTGTTTAAGAGCCGAGGTAATCTTGTCTTACCTTTATTAACAACAAACAAGATCTTCTGAGATATGAAGAGAAACTGGGTTTCGAATAATCCCATAATAGATTGATACCTTTTCATTTCGGTTGAGAAGCCGGGTCGAAGGGATTCGGAGATTGGCCTGAACGGATACCACAGGAGGGTTGCCTTGGACTTTTGTCTGTTTAATCGTGCCAAGAAGACCCTGGCTCAAAGTCTTACGACCCCGATGAATCCGTGCTGAGCCTTCGTCCGTCCTGTCATAGACATCATCAGAGCCAGGAATCATTATTCACGAAAAATAACCAAAAACACAAAATCGAGAAAGGTGGAAAGCTGAGATCCTACTTACTTCTCATAACTCACTTTGCGATCTTAATAAGGCATCCCGTAATTTGTGATTTTGAAAGTATGTTCTTAGTGTAGTATTATCCCTAAGTTTTCTATTCTGGATAGACCAAATTTGCCAAATAGAACTAAGAGGAATCATATAAAAGTAAAAACATTTCTTCAAAACATAACTAGATTACATAATTTGACCCGAAAAAAACCCAGACTAAATCAAGTGGATTGACCCTGTTGTCACAACTTGGTCTTGTTGTCAGGGCAACTAAGTAGAACGCACCTAGTCCGAAGTCGTCTGCCATAGTAGGTGTCATAATTCCCAGCATCAGACAGTGGACTTAGTACATTTTCAAAACGTTTCGTCAGCATCTTCAGTGAGTTTTGCAATTCTCCGCACCAAGCTACGAACTAGTCAAAGAGACAAGTGAAGTCGATCCATCGACAAGAGTTCTGTCGAAAACGGTCACACGATCACTTCTATTTCTCTCCTGGCCAATCTACTTACTATTCCCCTCTTATTCTACTGCCGCCCTATCACAACTTCTTACTTGTTTACATTCCACTCGTCAAAATATGTGCCCTTTTGTGGCAAATTTAGTGAGGCCTCAACACATTTGCTATTCACCACAACCCCTTCTCTTTCGATCGGCTGATCCGACTCAGGCCTCCAATCCGGATCCCTTCATTTTCTCGTATATCCGTTCCTTATCTTTTTGGTTGACCGATTTCACTTGGTTCCAGTCCCAGTGTGCATTGCATTCTAGGCACTATTTCTTAAGGGCCTAGAAGCACGCACACTGCCGCTTTACTAAGCAGAGCGCCTAAGCTCTGATTCTTATGTTTGCAGATATCAGGCCTTCCCTTAACAGGTCATCTGTTTGATTAAACCCATGTTAGCTGAGCAAACTGTGGACGCCTATCTCTGGTCGCATGCGCTATCTCAAGTGGATTTCTAGTACATTTTTGCCATAACGCCGAATTTTCGTGACGGTTTGCCAATCCGTCTGCCCAGCGCCCTGATTGCCAGGTCCCCTAAGTTGCACTGGTTTATTCGAAACGGACACCACTTACTGACACCGTCTTCGCTTTATTGCCAAAAATCCTCTCACTGCTATCCCTTTTGCTTCGATTAGCGATAGATCCTTGATCCAGGCGTATCATTTTTGCTGGTCTTGCTCTATTATTGTTTTCCCTAAATTTGCTTAAGCAGTAAGCAAATTTATCGATAATTCTACCTTCCTCCAATCTCCTGTTCATTAGATTTTTGTCCCCAAGGATTTCAATGGCCTCCCTTATCTTCCGCTTCCATCTGTTG